TTGGCAGTTTTGACAAGAAAGACTAAGGCATCAGGTAACATGCAGTTTTTTTTATTAATACTTTGTAACAGTCTGCCAGATTAATGCAGCATTGCAGCAATTATATTAATAAATAAATTCTGTTTTTTTGTCATATATACAATCTGCCAGACAGCTAGATTAATGCAACAATAATATTAATGAATAAATTCTGATTTTTTGTCATATATACAATCTGGCAGATTAATGCAGTAATTATATTAATGAAATATTCTGATTTTTTGTCATATATACAGCTGAATGGTGGCGCTTGTATGGGAGCACAACTCCCAACTTACAAAAACTGGCCATGAGAGTTCTTAGCCTCACGTGTAGTGCTTCAGGTTGTGAGCGTAACTAGAGTGTGTTTGAACAAGTACATTTTAATCAGCACTCCTACGAATTAATTGTTAAACACTTAAAAGTTAGAACACTTAAAGCACTAAAAGAAGTAATTTTTATTTTTGTATGTTTTAGATTCACACAAAGAAAAGGAACAGGCTAGGAATGCAAAAACTAAATGATTTAGTTTTTGTGAAGTATAATGCAACTTTGAAAGCTCGTTTCGAATCCAAAGATATCACAGATCCAATTGCTTTAGACAACATAGATGATTGCAATGAGTGGTTGATTGGAAACACGAATCATCGAAGTGCTGCAGATGATTTAGTTTTCAGTGATGAGGAAGATGATGGCTTGACATGGGGTGCTGTGAGTAGAGCAACATGAGCGGAAGAACCCTTAAAATATACTAGAAGGCAGTCCACAATTCATAGTGCAAGTACTAGTCGTAGGCTTGTGGATGAGGAAAGTGATAGAGAAATTGAAAACGATGTAGGAGGATATAAATCAGGAAATGGAGAACAAACAGACTCGGATTTTAATGACGAATAGTCCTGCAGGAAATGGGCAGTTGGGCAGCAAAACTAAAATCTAATTATGTTTTATTTTCTAGTTTTAGTGTTTAAGACTTTAAGTGAATCATGAGTCATGACTTTATTTTGCTTGATCGCTTAATCATGACTTTATTTTGGTCAATCGTGACTTTATTTTGGTGAGGCATGACTTTATTTGTAAGAAACATGACTTCTTAATGTATTTCCTTCAATATGGTGAACTGGTACATCATGTTTGATTGTTGGAGAATAGTATGTGTTATTTTTTCTAAGCAGTGCGCCTGACATGAGTCAGACGAGCACTTTTTTGCGCCTTGCGCCTGGCTTACCCTGTCGCCTTGAGTGCGCCTAACGCCTTTGACTACCTTGGGTAGGTGTGTATTAGTTTGTATCTTTTTAATTAAATAATTACACCAACAACTTTTTGTATTAGTGTGTATGTGTGTGTGTATACATTAGTTTATATTTTTTATTTGAAGAATTATAATTAATCACTTTATGCATTAGTGTGTGTATTACTAATAAGAAATTTTAAACGGGTCCGAGTCCTTAACGGGTCGGAATCATATGTAGCATACCTGACCCGTTTATTAAAAGTACTAACGGGTCCAGGTTCAGGTGATCCGGGTAAACGGAATAAAATAAGGACTCACACCCGTTAAAAACAACCGGGTCCGGGTCGGATCCCATTGACAGGCCTAATTTTACTTGGGCCCCACCACTGATTCTTCCCATACGAGTCTCCCATATAACTTGTAAATAGTTTTAACTTTTAACTCAACCCTAATTTTGTAGATACTTTTTTAATTAGCATTTTTTTTAAAAAACACACTCTAATTTGCTTTATTCCTCTCTAATTATCCTTCTTTGGAATTATTCGTAGTGCTAATAGTCCTTTCACTATAGAAACTATTATTTGGAATAGAGTCAGGATGTAGTATGAGTGGTGTCAAAGTAATATTACATCGAAAACTCTCTTAAATAAGAGCGTAATTAATGTGAAATTGAAATTTAGAGTATTACGTAGTATATTTTTCCCTTACTATCTTGCTTGAACAATATTATCAATTATGTCAATAACTTTGTCTTATTAATGTCACCTAGTGTCAAAATATGACAACAAAGTTGCAGTAATTTACTCTTGTTCTGGAGAATATAAATACAATACTCCTGTTTTTGAATATTTAATGTTTTTACTCAATACTACAAAAGTAATTGTATACAAAATATAATGATAAAAATACGACTAAAAAAGATAATGGATGAAATGATATTTTTAACACGCGATGAGCATAGTGAATGTAGTCAATTTCATGCCAGTATAAACAAAGTGAATGCAGTCAATTTTTCTCCATCATAAAAATATTGTAGGAAAACCTGTATAGAACACTAAAGTAAAACATTATCATAACCCTGTTTCTCAAATGCAGTGCTCGACTATATAAGAAAGATGGTAATTTGGTATAATAAAAAAAAAGAGGGTGTCTTACCAGATTGGTAAAAAAAACCATCTGAGACAAATTGGTAAAAAAAGAAGCCTCAGTGACAAATTGATCATTTTTTTAGATAGACACTTTTTTCCTCGATTTTAGAATTCCCGACATGTCATATTTTAAGTAGAATTAATTCCACTTTAGGTCCTCCGAGGCTCCGAGTTTTGTGTCATTTCCATATTTAGTCCTCGTCTTGCACTTTATCCATTTTTGGTACCTAACTATTGTTTTCTTGACATTTTCGGTCCATCTCTGGGCATTTTTACTACCGGAAAAAGGACTATATATGGTCATGAAAACAATAGTCAGATACCAAAAATGGATAAAGTGAAAGATGAGGGCTAATTGTGGAATTGGTGCAAAACTCGAAGGACTATAAGTGGAATTTCTTCTTTTAAGTATTGTGAAATTGACATTTTTCGGTCCTTCTACTTTGATTTTGTCATTAAAAGGGGAGGCCAAAAAATGTCAACGAATTCTGTTAGGTTTTTTTACTAACCGCTTTCAGTAGTGGTTTGAAATAAATTGTTAGTAACTTAGTTGTTAGTAATTAGTTTTTAAAGACGTAAAATTATCATTACGGATTTGTCTTGAAAAAAGTTTTAAATTTTTTATTTTTCGTTTAGTTTAAATAACTACTAACACTATCATTTTTCCAAGACTTATTAAAACTAAAAAATAAAGTTAAATATATATACTTCTACATTCATATCCTTAATGGCCATTTTACGTCTTAACATTTAATCGCAAATAGTTAAGTTACTGACATTTTGCTTCAAACCGCTAATGAAAGTGATTAGTTAAAAAAAAAAAACTTAACAGAATTGAGTAGTTTTTCTAAAAAAATAAATAATAAATAGTCATATTTAAAATATTGATACTAAAGAGATATTGCCTGAAATAGGACTAAAAAGGTTTGAAAATTCCAAAATATGACTGCCATGTTTTTATTTCCAAAATAGGACTAATTACTGCCATGTTTTGGCAGTACCAGACTTCAAACATGACGTAATTTTCCAGTAATTACTCCTATTTTGGGAATAAAAACAATGTCTGTCCTATTTTGGAATTTTCAAATTGTTTTAGTCCTATTTCGGAAACTTTCCCATACTAAAAATATTTGAATCTATATGTGTGTGCTCGCATTGATATACATATGTTAAAAATGATAGTGTTAGTGGTCATTTAAAGTAAATGTAAATGTAACTTTTAAAACATTTTCCAAGACTTATTAAAAATAAAAGATTTTTTTAATTAAATATATAAACTTTTAAATTCATATCCTTAATGATCATTTTGCGTCTTAAAAGCTAATTGCAAACAGCTAAGTTACTAATATTTTATTTCAAACCGTTAATGAAAGCGATTAGTTAAAAAATCTAACGGAATCCGCTAGTATCACATTGCTGATTCAACCACCTATCAGTCAACAGACAACTACTATTATTAAACACGACCGTTGTTATTTTTAATCCTTTCCATTTGATGACAAAATCAAAGTGGAAGGACTGAAAATGTCAATTTCACAATACTTAAAATTTGAAATGTCGAGAATTCTAAAATCGGGGAACATAAGTGTCTAACTCAAAAAATTTGACCAAACTGTCTCTGAGGCTTCTTTTTTTTTACCAATTTGTCTATGATGATTTTTGGGAAAAGTGTCAAATAGGCCCCCTACTAATATGAAAAAGTCAATTAAGCTCCCGAACTCAAAAAACATCCAATTAAGCCCACGAACTAAATATAACGAGACAAAACAGTCCTTTTAGCAGGATATTAACCGTTCCCAGTTAAGTTGCATGTGTGGCAAATGATGTGGCATGCTTTTACATTTTCTTTTTCTCTTTTTCTCTTTCTTTCCTTTTTTCCTTATCTCTTTTTAACCACTTAATTACCTGCTAAAAGGACTGTTTTGTCTCGTTTTTTATAGTTCGTGGGCTTAATTAAGTGTTTTTTGAGTTCAGGGGCTTAATTGACTTTTCTGTATTAGTAGGGGGGCCTATTTGACAGTTTCCCCATGATTTTTTTTACCAATCTGGTAAGACACCATCTATTTTTTACCCAATTGGTAATTTGGCCAGAAAAACATAGTCAAATGCAGTAACGAATTTGCGGATATATAAGCTTATGACGATGTTTATCAGGGTTGTTGATGCATTACAATATTTGAATGCAATAATAAATGAATGATAGATTTATAGCTTGATACATCCCAGAACAAATCCATATAAGAAAAACATTTATCCCTACTCACCGGTGTTATATAATGAATGATAGATTTATAGCTTCATATTTCGAGAATTAACCTTTAACATATACATTCTAGTTCCATAATTTTTTTAATCGGCTCTATAGTCACATTCAAATGGCTAGGTTAGTAGATATTCAAATACTACGCCAATCGTTAATGTTATTTGCCCTTGGTTTTTAGCTCCTTTTGCCAAAAGGTCAGCTTCGTGGTTCAAATTCAGCACCTCAAAGTTCAACTCTAGACAATAGTCTTTAATTTTTCTCTGAATTTAGACATTAATCTCCATCTCTTACCTCCTGGTGTTGGAAAACATAGTCTTGACCATTTCCCTTCTCATTGTATGTTGGAATTCTCATTTCACATAAACCCTACATATATAATATACAAACATGCGAGTGTATAGAGAACGAGTATGACGTTAACACCAAAAAAAAAACATACTTGACTATAATAGACAGATATACAGCATATCACGTAGTACTGTCCTTATCTATAGGTTGCTCTATATATTTCAAGGGTATTGCGATTATTCTCTTTGTTATCTCCCTGTTATATCTGCCCAGAAGAATACCACAATTTCTTCTGGCAAAGCATTACCTTTTCCTTATCTACAGTGGATTCTGTGTCTGCTTTGCGGCAGCTCCATCTCATTCCTTCGGCCATGGTCATGAGATAATCTATGTAATAGTTGGACTCACGGATTAATGCGTACCCGTTTGGTCTCAAAACACGATCCATTTCTAACATGACATACTTCATCTCACATCTGCATAATAACTCAAGTGAGGCTGGTAAAAAATAACCACAAAATGGGAAAAGGGGGAGAACTACTTCCATTTTAGTTCCCACTACCCACACCCTTCATTTGGGGGTGGGTGTTGGACCTGTTGGTCAAATAATAATAACTTAATAAGCACTCCTGTTGGAGAAAAATGTCTTCTTCAAAAGAACTGCCCTCAAAAGTCATAGCTGAACAAAAGTAGCTAATTCTGGTCAGATTTAATGCATATTTTTAAAAAAGTGACCCAAAAAAGTTAAACTTAGTTGAAACAGTGTAGTTAAAAATATGAATGATTACTATGAGTTGCACCTTGGTGACATGACTCTTGCTTAGAAAGGAGGAACTATTGAATTTCAGATTACTAATAGGTCCATGGCTGTGTTATGAGAACCGGACCGGACCGGGCGTTCGGACCCGGAAACCGGCCACCCGGCCGTAAGACCGGTCCGGCCCAATGTAAACCCGCTAATTAGCCTAAAACCGGATTTAACCGGCAACCCGGCGAAACCCCGGACGGAACTGGCCCGTTGAAAACCCGGGAAAAACCGGAAATTGAGACCAAACCCGCCTGATGAAGGATTTTACTTCAGTAAAATTAATAAATGGCAGGGGGTTTTGAAACCTGGACGCAACACTTAAGACTTTAGACACCAACCATCCCACCTACTTGGTTTTTGTTTACCTTCTGTCTCTTTGCTTTCTTATAGTATACTTTGAATACATCATTATGAATTATTAGTTAGTAATCATAATACTCCGTAATAACTATTATTTGCTATTGCTCTCTATTACTCCGTATTATATTAAAAATCTACTGCCTATTCATGAAGTATTCATTGATCTATCAATCATACTTTTAATTTTTTTAAATATAAATATTATGTTCAAATGTTATCCATCTATTCTAAGCACATCTTAAATTATTTGAATAAACATTTATACATTAATTTTTAATTTAAGCTTATAATCACTATTAAGTTTTCAATGAGTGACTTTTCAGCATACATCATTAATTATATAATTATATATATATATATATATATATATATATAATTTTATTTTTAAACAAACGTTGACCGGGTTGACTATTTGTTGACCGGGCTGACCCTCCCGGGTCCGGGTTGACCCTTGACCCGGTCCCTTGCCCGGGTCGCCTCCCGGTCCGGTTTTGACAACATAGGTCCATGGTAGTATATATTCATAAGAACACCAAAAGTAATACTCCATCCATCCCAAACAGAGTCCAATTTGAAGCAACTTTTTGTTCTAAAAAAGAGTGATGTTTAAACAAAACTAGTTTAAAAAAAATTCATCGACAAGTTTCATGTAAAAAAGTTGGTTAAGCCACGAAGGTAAATATATATCAACATCATCATCATCATTACCCCCAGTGCCGCAAAGGCTCCCACCTACGGTGGGGTAAGGGGGGGTCGGATGTACGCAGCCTTACCCCTGTACTAAAGCACAGAGAGGCTGTTTCTGGATGAACCATGATGAAAATTGCGTCGAGAATTGCATGGACTGACCGTTGCTTCATAACAAAGAAGCGCAGCCAGTTTAGTGAGTCATTTTGCTTTATTCCATCATATTACCAAGCCAAAAAATAGTGAATCATTGGCTATATTTCAAATGAAGGTATATATATATGTGTGTGTGTGTGTGTGTGTGTAAAAAAAATAAAAAATGTATTCATTATTTATGAAAGTTCTCCCTTTCCAAAATTCAAAAATAGTATATTCACCAAACATGATTCTTTTTACTTACTGGACGGAGGGGGTAATAACTTTGGTGCTGGGCTTACCTGTGATTTTCAGCAGTGAATAGGCCATCTAAGTGAAGGAGATCATAGGTTCTAGTAATAAATTTGGTACTGAATATGGCTTACCTGTGACTTTCAGCAGTGAATAGGCCATCTAAGTGAAGGAGATCATAGGTTCTAGGATATGTAGAGAAAGCCTCGCACCTGCAAAAAATATACAATCATCAAATGCATATAACTGTATATAGCTTCCATACAAAAATGAACCATAAATGACACAAAACACAATAATACTATCCCTTCACATACCAGTCATGGTATGTACCGATGAGACCGCGGTCAAACACCACGGGAAGTGTATTTTTGTCATAAGAAGAAACAACATTCATGACCCAAACAGGATCATCAATGAGAGCCGCAGCAAAACCTCCATACATTGTGTTCATGTCCATCACATTCCGTATCTCATCACTTCCAAGTGCAGGAAGCAACAACTTGTAGTGCTTCACCCTTGCCTTCCATTTACTATCATCAAGCTTAAATGCTCCACCACTTCCTCCACGGACATTAGTAACACGCTCTGGAGGGGTATGCAACCTTTGTGGCCATTTGGGAAGGGATTCTAATGCTACTTTTTTATCAGTTTGTTCGTTTTGTACAATACATGGGCGGAGAGGAGTATACCATGCTGAATCTGGTTCGGTTCCATCATCACAATCAGGTTGGTGGATATTACTATTATTATTGTTATTATTTAAGTTGTTATTATTATTACTACTAACAAGATCGTTATAGCAACTGCCGTCTGATGATTTCTGCCACACGGCAATGTCGTCTTTTTGGTTGTATGGTTTGAAACATACTGAAAGTAATAATTCTTCCAGTTTCTCATAGTTGGATTTTTGCTCCTTGATTGTGGTGTTCCATCCTCTCCAGCGGTGCTCATAGTTAACTGGAGGACCAGAGAGGATCCAGAACCCTCCAGGGCGAAATATTCGTTGTATCTCAAGAAGGTAAATTCCACCTGAAAGAAAAATAAGATCTTATTAATTAATAGGTTAAAGGTATGTTTGGAACACGTAACACAGTAGCGTAAAGAGGGAGAAATGGTATAGATATGGATGTCTGGAAGCACTTTGCTATAAAATATAAAACTTATACCAGACAAAGTTCATCTTTGGATTCTTGGAAGATGAGCTTACCTAGTTGACTTAGTGTATTAAGGGATAGCTTTGTTAAGGGACATTAAGAGTAATATTGAACAAATGTTAAGGGATACCTAACTATTAACACTAATATATTAAAGGATGATAGGTACACAGATTTAGTAACAATAGATCGATCAATATTATTGAGCTCAAAAGGCAGAAACGATGAAGACGATACAAGACAGGGCACTTCGAGAGGCCTCTACTCTCCAGAACCGAATTCCCAATTCTAAAATCTGCCTACCTCCTTCCTCCCCTCCTTTCCTCTCTTATAGTATTTCTATTCTAACGGCCCAGCCCATATTATATGACATGGCCCAGAATACTTATTTATACAATACTATACTTATTTAATATCAATCTATCACTATTATTATTATTATTATTATTATTATTCTCTACAGCCCAGGGCCCTATCATATCTCCCCCCTTGAAAAACCACCTTGTCCTCAAGGTGGGTGATAGGACACAGCCTTGACCTTGAACTTATCTTCATCCGAGCACCTCTTCCTTCCCAGTATCTAACTGATGGCGGAACCATGAGCTTGCTTGCCTGGAAAACACACTGATTTTCAGGATCTTTGTAATTGTTTTGTTCCTCCTGATCAGGTGGTTTTGTTTGATCTTTTCTTTCAATATCCTTCTCTGGATGCGCTGGCTGCGAATTGATCAAACTGCCAATGCTGCTAGTCATTAAAATAATGTGCCCGCCCCTGGTTAAGCACCAAGAAAGTTCTTCCTCTCTTTCATATGAGGTTCCACCTGGTTTCACAATGCTTTGATGAAGACCCACAGATGCCTTAGCAGAAAAGACCAGAGATCTTGAGCTAGAGGGACTAGCACCACGTGGGAAAAGGGAAACTTCAGCGTTGGGTTCAGTGAGCAAATGCAATCTTGCTTTCTGAGAGCCAGAGCTGCTGCTAAGCATGTAATAGGGAACTTGGCCAGATTCGTTTCCAATAGCAACACTCAAAAAGTTAGTGGAAGAGTCTAGAGCTGTTGTAGTTGCACTAGTACTAATGCTTTCCAAGCTCTTCACCTCAGATACGATAGCCCTAAGGTTGAAGAACCATGCAGACTCATCATTATCAGCACCTTTCTTAAAGTTCCCTTTTTCCAGGATATAATCATTCTTCATTATACATGCAAAACTCTCATTCTGCTCTTGATAACCATTAGTCATTATCTTGATACTCTCATTCTGCTTCCCTTCAAATCCAGCAGTTCTTTCAAGGTTAGAAACAATATCAACTTCTATTTCCTGGATTGCCACATACTTTCGATGCAAACTTTTATTCAAGTTCTGCCAATGAGCTCCATCCGAGGCATCCTTTGCATAAAGAATATACAAGTTGACTGCATTATTTTGCCCTTGTTAGTCCCAAAAGGATAACATATTGAACTGCCGACAGATTTAGTCCTGAGCCACCAGCAAGTATTCCAATATTGACAATCTTAACCTCCTTACTTAAAACAGTAAGATGCCCTACTAACTTCTTCTTTGGTGCAACCTGATAACTGGAGTTTGATTCAGAGCTCGGATCTAATCCACAATCCTCGGTAGCATCAGTATCTGCGTTGATGATTACCTGAAGCTTCTTTCCATCATTCTCCTCTTCTATTTCCTCAGTTTCCTCCTTGTTCACACACATCCCTTCCTTCAAGGTCCTCCTAAATGCAGTGGTAGCTCTTAAGTTGGACTGCCAAGGTATAGTAATTCCTTCATGGACTGCATTTTTCATATCAGCACCTAATACACCCTCGGGACCTTGAGTTCTATCCATAAGTTCTGCAGATGTAATCGGGTCTCCAATATGTGAAGACGATACAAGACAGGGCACTTCGAGAGGCCTCTACTCTCCAGAACCGAATTCCCAATTCTAAAATCTTCCTACCTCCTTCCTCCCCTCCTTCCCTCTCTTATAGTATTTCTATTCTAACGGCCCAGCCCATATTATATGACATGGGCCAGAATACTTATTTATACAATACTATACTTATTTAATATCAATCTATCACTATTATTATTATTATTATTCTCTACAACCCAGGGCCCTATCAAAGGATAGCTTTGTTGACTTAGTATACAGAGTAGTTGTTATCTATTTAAGCTTATTTGAATTGTTTTCAATTACCACCATGATCTGCGGCAACTACCCATAAAAATAGTCACTGTAGCTATACTTCTCTTGCATTTAAAGTGGTGTAATGATGGAATGAAATACAAGCTTCCTCACTTTCATCAATCTTATACTACGTACATGTTATCAAGAGCCACAAAACCCTAATGAATCAATATGATTTCCTTCTCTCTGGTCGTCACAGTTAATGACATTACGGTCACTCCTCCATAGTTGAATTAATCGTTTTTGTCAATTTTCCATCCAAATTACAAACTCCAAAAAATGTATGGAGAAAACAAATCCAGACAGCATTGATTGGTATTAGCCTTGAAGGCTGCCTTGATGGCACTATAAAAGCCCCAACACAATAAGCAAGGTAGGATGAAAAAACACCAGACTATCCAACAAGTTGAAGGATTGATCAACCATCTCAAGTCAGGATATAATATCTCAAAGGAGGTTATTAATATGGTATAAGAAGTCAAGAAACAATACATTATTATTATTATTATCATCATCATTATCATTATTATCATTATTACTATTATTAATATTAATATTATTATTATTCTTAATTCTATGTCTGTTTTAGACAGCTTTTTAATTAGCATTTATCTCCTATAATTATTCATATTCTGCTTTAGGCAGCTTCTTAATTAGCATTTATCTCCTTTTATTATTATTCCTATTTTGCTTCAGGCAACTTCTTAGTTAGCATTTATTTCCTTTTCTAAATAGGACTCTTGTAATAGATATATAAGGGACATCAGTATTATTAAATAAACGGCTTGGGAAGAATTAATTCTTTTGTGTCTTGACAAGGTCGGGCACAAATTAATTCTAGCTCAGGCTTATTTTATTATTCCCCTCTCATATTCTCTATTTCCTAGATCTAAAACGAGATCCCAACCACGCTCGTAACAGTTATAGCCTGCAAAAAGATATTATGCAGCTTCAATGGAAGAAACCTCCAGGATGGACTAAAAACAACTCAGATGCCAATGATAAACATAACAGTTTTGATATGAATGCTATGGTGATTTTAGCTTACTGTAGCAGGATCCACAAGTGCAACACTGAGATAGCAGAGCATTATGCAATCTGGATAGGCCATAGAGTTGCTAAAATCAAGGGTTGGGATTGGGTCCTTTCTGAAGCTGATTCCAAGAGGGAGTTATTAACTATATTAATCAAGTTTTTGGGTCATCGGAAGTGCAATAGCTACTGAAAAAGTTAAATTTCATGCTGCTCATTTAAACACTGCTTTCCCATTTACTTATCGGGAATGCAACACTTAGGCTGATGAAATTGCTAAGGATGTTAATAATTTCAACAACTTGAGGTTCAACTCCTTTGAAGAACCGAGCACGAAGGCTAAGGAACTGGGTATGTTGAACAAAAAGAGATCCCTTACATCAGACAAGTCCTGCGTTTACGCTACCGGTTTGTTGGCCGCTTCTGTTTTTGGAGGTTTTTCCCTCTTTTTTGAGGGTTTTGACCTGATTCCCCCCTTATGTGCCTTTTGTCATCATGAATAAGATTTGTCATCATCAACAACTAAACCAATTTTGTGCAAGTATTTAAGCAACCACTAATTCTACATGCTGATTTGAAAACTTAAGGCGTGATTAAACGCAAAAAAGATCACAATTAGCCAATTAGGCATCTGTCAGTTACCAAATTCAGTCCAAGGAATCAGGCATCTTGAGCAATGAGCCATATCAAAAGAGCTTGAAGGGAAAGGAAGGCGTTGTGTTGAGATAATCCCTAAAATTGCAGGTATTCCACGTTCTAACGCAAACTGAACTTGAGCCTGGTGATTGTCTCTAGGTGCAAGTGAAACTGTTAAAATCCCACGATCCAGCAAATCCCCTCCCCAGCTTGCAACCTATTAACTGTCACTCTATCAGGTACATAATATTATTCTAAATAGTGCTCTAAGATTCTTAATCTAGTTAAAAAGGGAATAAAAGTGCTTTCGGTGCAATCATTCACTACAATCTTTTGAGAAAATGCGCAGAAACTCATGCCTAGGCCGAAAAAGGATTTATTTGTAAGAGTGTCAGTAAAAGTAAGAAACCGCTGAAAATGAGAGTGACTTGTATTCTACGCTTGTTATGTGGGTCTGAAGTATGCCATTGATTGGACAATAAAATGACTATTTTACTTATGGATCATTTATTTTCTAGAAGTTTGATGTAGAGCATTTATTGCCTTGTAAAGAAACATAGTTGGAAGGTTGTTTTTTAAGAAAACAGAAGGCACTTACACCACACCCAGTATCAATGGCAGTCCTAATTGTCCCATCTTTCATTGCAGGAATCAAGTTTTGCATCAAATCAACATAATGGCTGACACCATATGGGAACATGGTACCTCCTCCAGGGAAAATAAATTTCTCTCCTTCTTTCCTCAACCAATGCTGATTAGATTTTTTCTTAAGAATCCAATCAAATGGAACATTCCTGAAACAAAGATCCAAACAGTATGTTATGCTCGATTCTTGGATGGAAATTCAATCCGGGATCCAAATAGATTTATCCAAAGGATATCTAAGCCTGAGAGTCTAAGGTAATAAGTAATAACGATGATGAACATGTTACCTGTACCAACATTCATTTCTACTGTTTGGCCATTTGATTGACAATTTATAGCCTTCTGGCGGTGGAACTAAGCATTCTTTCTTTTCATGTTTTGGAGGGCAGTGGCGTTCCAAATAAGATAGTCGATGAGAACGATACCTCCTCCACCTCTGTCATATGAACAATATGTCATTCGTTATTCTTATATAAAATTATACAATTACAGCTTTCATCTGCAAAGATCACCTCACGGTCTGTTTGGATAGAGGGTACTGGAGAAGAACGGTTTGGAGAGCTTACTCTGTGTCTTAGACTCTTAGTACATACTTTTTTTTAAACGAATACAAGGTGATTGTAATACTACACGATCACATATTATTGGAATCTTTGAATTTTATAAAATCACAAATGTATATGAAGATATAGACAAAGCCCTCCATCCAAACAGACCCTTAAAATTATGATGCTGTTTATAGAGTCATACCTTGGGATCTGTGCATGGAGTGTAGTCCTGCAAGTCAGGACTGCACTCTGCAAAGGAAGTGGAATTCAATTGCAGTGAGCTAAGAACAGTTTCCCTGGGAGATGTGAGGGCATTGGAAAAATCCTTAGTGAGAAGAAAAATCTGATTTTGAGAACAGAAGCTTCCACCAAGAAAGAATGAAAGACTGCATAGCACAACAGATATGAGTGCCATGGTGACTATGTTGGAACCCTTTTCTGGTTGGGGTGAAGGATTCCCATCATTATGCATCATGTTTCAGATTTCAAAGCTACTTCTACCTGCATATTTAGAAAAAAGCAGGTTCTAATCACTAAGCTTTACCAAACAATGAATCTAATGGTGATACAAAGAGGCAGATTGTTTCTTCTTTCCAAAACCATTTTCCTGATTGCCCCCCCCCCCCCCAAGGACTTGTTTGGTTTGGGGATTTCAGAGAGGAGGGGAAAGAGAAGTTATCTTTAAATTCTTAATCATTTATACATTTAGATTGTTAGAAGAACTATGGATTAAAAAACTATATAGAAATGCATGATCTAACAAATAGAGATAAATTAGTAAAAACCCATTAATCCTCCCATCTTTGTCCCTCTGAAAGCCCATGACCGATCAAACCTTAAAACAACAAATAAATCAATGAAAACCCAAGAATAACTTTGAGTGCAGAGGATTAAAGAGGCTAAAACTTAGCAATCTGAGGGACAGTGCACCAAATAGTCACTAAGACTTGGAGTTTCTTTCAAGTCCAACACTAAGAGAGTAAATTGAGATCTTTCTGTGTGAATACCCAAACAAATGGAAATGAGATCACTTTGCCAGGACTACAGAAATCCAAATTTTACTGATCAAAGAAAGACAATGAATGACTGAATGTGGCCAATGATTGCAAGGACCACTTCACGTGGAGTTAACAGACACTAATCAAATAACACAGAAGTACCGCCAATAATACAGCTAGCTTGAGGAATAAGAAGATGATTCTCAGACAAACATACGAACACATAACGAGCACCAAGAGCAATAAAGAAGCTGTGGTACCGATGCCTGAGAAACAGTGAAGACCCAAGATTATCACTCCAGCTCGCTTCCTTCAATCCGAACCTTAGCACACACAAGTGGCAGAGAATGAAATAGTGAGATACCCTTCATCCACTTCACATCACCTGCGTATATCAGTGTGAAGTGAAAAGGAAATGAGACGAAAAGGTGATGGGGAGAAGAGAGAACGGGTTGATCAATTACCGGAAATTCGAAAGAAATGCAATCTCGGGTTTCTTTTGTTTATCCTGGGAAAAAACGAATACTCCATATTTTTTTTCTTTAGAAAAATGCTTTGACTTTCAGCTCTAACTTTGGTCATAGAGCAAAGAAGCTCATGGTCCATCTTTTCACTCTCTGCCACGTTCGTCACCAGAGCGGAATGGGTCAACGGGTCTCTGCTCTATCCACCCAGCTAGGGGTGCCAGCGGGTCGGATTTTCACCGGGTGGAGGCTCATCCACGTCCACCCGTTAATTTTTTATACTCCACTCACCCGTCCATCATTCATTAAAAATTACATCCATATCCAACCCATCCATCTTGAACGGGTTATCGGGTGTATCGGGTGAGTAGCGGGTGAAATATAAATGGTCAAACTTGAGACAAAATAAATAAATTACAAAGAGAAATCATGACAATTAAAAACCAAAAATTAAGAATTCATTGTAAAATAACAACAAAAACATGAGCAATTAAGTATATTACAATCATTAATTCAATGCCGATGATAAAGAAAGTATTGAATGCTAAACAAAATAGACATAAAACTTCTTCAAGTTGTTAAATTTTGCATTTATGCATCGGCACAAAACTATATTTGCTATTCAACTATCACTTCTTGAAGCTCTCCAATTATGTTTGTTTCACCAATTAACTATTATTATTATTATTATATATTATTAAATAGATATAATATATTATATACTTATATGCGGGTCAACGGATGGGTGGATGGAACGGGTGATGGGTTGGATGAGCCTTCATCCACACCCGATCCACCCCGTCTTTCGATCCACCCGTCATCCATTTTTCATCCATACTTCTTCGGGTTTTCATCCATATTTTCGGTTCAGATTGACCGGGTATCCGCGGGTATGGGTGATATTGCCGGCCCTATACCCAGCCAACCCATTTTGAAAGAAATTTGAATTCTGAAAACCGAAATTAGGGCTTGTTTGCAATCACTTAAGAAAAGTGATTTTGGTTTTTTTCTAATAAAAAAACACTAATTTTACCAAATACTACCAACTTTTACTTTCTCGGCTTCCGTGTAGAATCTACTTTTTACTTTTTCTATTACACAAAAAACACTTATTTTACCAAACACTACCAACTTTTACTACTAGTCACTTTTTTCCAAAAAGTACTTTTATTTAAGCACAAGTGGTTGCAAACAAAGCCTTAGAAGTGTAACATCCAAAATGACTGAATACCCTCAATGAGTTGAAATTGGTCAAAAAAAATTGGTGAAACGTCTGAAAATTATGATGAATTATAGAAAAAGAAATTAATTTCAAAAGTCCAAAAGTCCAAATACCTATTGTTGAGGTTTATTCCTTCAACACTTGGACCCAACACATAAGCCCAAAGATTTCGAATGGAGTAAGTGTATGAATATCTAGTCCAACAACTATCAGATGGATCAGGAAACAAAGATAATAGCAGGCAATGTAAATAGGTATTATTAACTTCGTAATAACTCCCCTAAGTACAATCTACTTGCTAAAAAGGGCACGTCGGCCGTTCGTCCTACAAGGCAGTTAGAATGCTGCGAGTAAGAGTGCTGAAGCTAGTAAGCTAAGAATAGAAGGTTGCCCACCCTTTACAATGAAATAAATGCTTCTATTTATACCCACCAATGGGCAGGTGGCTGTACTGACGTGGCAGCCTGTGGACCGCTGGTGTCCCAACTACCAAATCTTCAGCATTAAATGCACTTCCCGCCAGAATCTAGGTTTCCCGCCGGATCAGTGGGGACGTTCGTCCATCCGGGAAGTGAGTTGGATTGCTCCAAGTGACCCTTGAGAGATATTGGCTGTTCGTCTCCTGGCCTTAATAGATACTCACCATGTGGACTGGGTTTTCTCCGATGACTACAGGCTTGCTCTGGGGACGTTCGTCGCCATCCCTGGTGGCCCGTGGTTCTGCTCCTTGTCCCTGCATAGACGTTCGTCGGGATGGGCTGCTGGGCCTGAGTCCCCCAGCACCAGACGTTCGTCCCTCCTCAAGGAACATGGGCTTGTGGGCTGGCCTAGTGTTCTAACTGGACGTTCGTCTGGCAAAATGGGTTAGTGGGCCGGACCTCGGCTTGGGCCCTTAACCCAACACCTATAATAGTTGGCTGGCTTGTATAATTTCAAGTAATTCAATTCCAAAAGCAAATTCAGCTTTATTTATTGGGAAAACTATCAAATAGATCCTCGAACTTTCATAAAAAGGTCAATTAAGTTCTTCTATAGGAGGTTCTGTCTGGCCGTCACGATTTGGGGCGGTTCCCGGTGGAATTTTTTGATGAAAATTTTTTAGCATGTTGTTCGTCAGGTCTAGTTTACTCATACCAAATGTCAGCTAAAAATTCAGTCGGGAACACATTCAAATTAATTCGTGAAGATAACTGCGCATTTTTGCGTTCTCAAATTAATTTGAATACGTTCCCAATTGAATTTTTAGCTGAAATTTGGAATGAGTAAACTAGACTTGATGAATAAGATGCTCAAAAAATTTCATCAAAAAATTCCACCGGGAACCACCCCAAATCGCGACGACCAGACAGAGTCACCTATAGAAGGACTTAATTGACTTTTTATGAAAGTTCGAGGACCTATTTGACAGTTTTCCCTTATTTATTTTGTATGCAACTACTTCGTATTTGGCTGCATAAATCTGAGCGGCGGTGACGGGTGGCAGTGTTGGCATTGAGTAGGGGCTATCACCTGCAGAGGCATTTTTGTCCTGTCACAAGAAAATATTTTTGTTTGGAGAATTTTGAAACTCTACTCTCATTTTTACATATCTCCAATATTTTTCTCCTATTTGGTTAATTAATCCAATCTAAAATCGTGAGATATTAAACCACATATGAAATTGAATTATTAGGATGACCTTAAAAGAAACAATAAAGGTCTAAAAATTATGGAGTATATTCGAATATATGAGGTCGTTTTGTGACAGTGTTTTTTTATTTATCGGACTTATCAGCCAACTTAATCATCAAACACGTAATTTTTTATTTCGGACGTTAAGTTGTGTAAGAAAATGTAATGTTGAAATTACTTTTCTAGTTGTATTAACTGAAGTTACTATAGAGGGTCATTTTAACTACTTTTTCATGTAATTATTTTTTTTATTAATAAAACATACGAAGTATTTTATATATAATTTTTTCATAAATCAGCTGAATCAGTTAATCCAGCCACTTCAATCAGAACTTCATAAATTTCAGCAGCATCAGCCGATTCAACCGACTTTTGTGTTGCCAAACGAGCTCTAAAACACTGCACACTGTTTTGTAAAGTTGAATTTTTTTCCCAACTTTTCCCCAAATCTCTTGAACATAAATTAAACCGAACACTTAGAGCATCTTCAATGATATAATATGCACGGTGCACGTGTGGCATGACAAATAGCCACATAAATATTAATAAATAAATTATTTCTTTCCTTATTTGAATGATTTTATATAATTTTGGTAACTTTTCTTGACAATGTCAACCACAATGTCTACATCTAGACGGTCTCCTTGACATTGCAGAGAAAAAATTACCAAAATTGTAATAAATCATTCAAATAAGGAAAAAAATAATTTATTTACTCATATTTATGTGGCTATCTCACATGCCACATGTGCACCGTGCACATTGCAGTACGTATCTTTTCATCACAATATGAAGATTGGGGTGGCTGGCGCAGTGGCGCTTGAATGCCTCTAGCTATGTCCAAGTTTATCCCTCCCGGAGTCCCGAACATTTTCTCTTTTATTGCCTGTAACTCTTCTAACCTTTGATTGTTTTATAAATTTGAATTTTATCAAGTTCACTACTTTTTATACGCGCGATGCGCGATTGAGTAGATGCCAATATCATATACCCCATTTATGAAATACACGTCAAACTCCACAATTGAAAAAAAGTGAAATAAGTTTGAATTAGGTAAAGAGTATAAACTATAAACATTTCTCTAATTACAATGTACAACCATCCACACAAAATGAAGTCAATTCAAACCTAAAACCACATTCCAAGTAATACAGGTCATTTAAGATTAAAAAACGTATGAGCTATCAAATTTTGTAAAATAAAAATATGTTTTTGAAGAGACCTTTATTACCATGCCGTTTGAGCTAATGAGAAACAAACATCACAAAATGCTTCAAGATAGATTATTAATATATATGTATCTTCTAAATGAAAATGAATCCCTCCTTTTCAAAACCAAGTCTATTTAAATTTAGTTTGTGAAAGTCGAATCATATAAAAGTATAAGAAGCAAAGTGAAACCAGGCATGCTCTTGGTAATGCAACAAAGCACATGAAACTCTCACATAACGGTTTATAGTAGCTAAGATAAAACACTAAACATCTACCAATCAAGGTAAAAATAGCAAAACACATTCTAAATCTGATTGGAAGTAATGTAGATCTATCCATTAAACCTTGGAGATTGTGATTTCTCATTTTCATCATAAGATTTAGTGCACTCCTAATATAAACCTCTCTGTTTTACGAAAGTCAATCATTTTTTTGGGAACACGTGTGATCAAACTCTTTGTTAACATGTTCTTCTTCTATAACTACTTCTCCCAATTAACTAAATATATATGAGGTGATTTATCCTAATATGAATTTCAAATGCTAACTCTCTATATTTTACAGGTAGAGAGTTCCCCTATCACTGGAATAGTGGTATAAATATAATATACTCGTATCTTTTTAATGTGTTTTTATCATTACAAAAAATAAAATATTTTGACTTACCTGGTTCATGACCATTTTGTTTTACTAAAATTTTACAGAATAATGTGATAGAAAAAGAAGCAAAATGAAAACATCCGGATTCATATTCTTTATATCAAAGCATAAATGCTCTAGGCCTCCACCTCTACATCCTTCACATGTACTCTACAGTTCTGAGAGTGCCATAGTAGAGAGACCCTACACAGTAGGGAAGCATTTTAATACGGAATAAGAGCGTCAATAGTGCTAAACTTAGCTAAGGTGCAAGCACTCACATAAAGCATTCTTTTGGGAAGAGTCAGGACTCAGGACGCTTACTCTTACTGGCACTTAGATAGACTAAGGCAAACGAGTGTTCTCTCCTTTTTCTTGCACTTTATTCC